GTTACCTCCAGTGGTTGGTCTCAAGAAGGAATTATAACAACTGTTGTGGTACCTAGTCTCAGCAGCAACTAAATCATTTTCATGCTCAATGCATGCCTTATCATATTCTGCTACATCATCATTCCGAATCTGACCTTCAATCTTGAATTCAAAGAATCAATTCTGAAAACTTTTAGAATCGGTTCCTTGAGTTCAAGGGTAGCAACTATATAAACTTTGCGTCGAACATTTTGCGCTTTCTTTTTTTTAGCCTCTTCATTTGCTTAATTGCCGTAAAGTAAACAAACCTTTTTGAAACAAAAATTGGATTCACTGACGCAATCTCTAGTACAAGGTAGACTAATTTTGGATGTACTGGCTAATTTTGGATGTACTGATCACTTCCCAATAGTATAGACTTTACGGCAATGCGCATGTATTGTCATAGACTTCTGACCTTGTAGGTACTCAAGGAGCCCGTCATTTCTATCAACACTAGAATCAATTAAAGTCTTCATTCCATGATCAACAACAGCTGTTTCACTTGTTAAAAGATTACTACAAATAAAACATGGTTGCGACGTTTTTAAAATAGTGTTCATTAGTGCAAAATATTGCAAACTTACCACTTTTTTTTTCGACTATTTTGACCGGACTATTTCAAAGTTAAAACATGTCAACTACGTGATTAACCAAATATTATACCAAGCCTCCTCGACTGCTAAATCGAGTTAAACCATGTTGAATATCAAGAAGAAAAAAAAACAAAGTAAACATTTGACTGCTAAAATACAAAGTTTTATACAAAAATACATTCTGATCATGATGTTAAACTGATCATGTACTGGGCAGGCGAGGCTTTTTAGCTGTGGTTGATATAAAGAAGTAGAAACAAAGCGAAATATTGAATGGATGATTAGGCAGGTCATTTTTAAAATTTTTAGTAATAATGTTGAAACTACTAAAATTAAATTTATTAAAATTAAAATTAAAAGTATTAATTTTTGTTATAAAAATAGTGAGAAAAAAAAAAGAAATTGTTATTTAAAAAAATTAATTTATTTTATGTAAAAGTTTTAAAAATAATATTTAGAAAAAATAAACATATAAGAAAAAATCTTCAAAAACATGTAAAAATGCACTTTTTTTATTTTTAGTTTAAATCAAAAGTTCTTATGAAAAAAATTTCAAACCTTTTTTACGAAACAATTATTGTTTTCAAAATTTTTACATAATTTTGCTTTATTCAAATGTTTTGAACATTTAAATAAAGCAGAATTAAAAACATGAATAAAGAAAAAAAAATAAAAAATGAATAAAAAAATGAATAAAGCGAAGGGACCCTTAAAATATTCAAGGGTTTTGGCACTTCTGAGAATATTTTTTGCACCTCTGAAAATATTTTTTGTTCAAAAAATTTTTAAATCTTATGTTATTTTATTATTAAAAACACATTTTATATAATAAAATAACATAAAATTTAAAAATATAAATTTTTAAATCTTATGTTATTTTATTATATAAAATGTGTTTTTAATAATAAAATTACATAATAAAATTACATAATGACAAGGCAATTTTTTCAAAATTTTTGTTTTTTGTAGTACCATATATGTATATTATATATATATATATATATATATATATATATATATATATATATATATATATATATATATATATATATATATATATATATATATATCAGCATTCTCCTAAATGAGCAATAAGTGTCAACTCAAATTCCTAAGAAACCACAATATGCCTGTGAAAGCTTATGACTCCTGGATTCCAAAAATATAAAAAATCAAATCATCCTATTACGTCCGAGAAAGAAAATCACTTTTGAAAATTTTTATTTTGCACATATTCATGAAATGACAGCATTCTCGAAATTTTACATTTTTACAGCATATCTTAACATTCAAAAAGCTCTTTGAAAATAATAAAACCTACTTAACATAATAAAGAAACAAAAAATATGAAAATGTGAAAGATTTTATGTTATAAAATTTGTAGTAATCCAAATAGGTAAAAGATCACTTGGGTAAAATATTGCTTTTCTGAAAGTTTTTTCTAATAAGTTAACTCTAGAATAATTTCAATAGTAGTTTGGTAGTAATCCAAAAAGGTAAAAGATCATGTGGGTAAATACAAAAGAAATATTAAAATAAATTCCACATTTAAAGCAACAACATTCTTGACAAAAAAAATTCTTTACAAATTCTAAACTGTTTACAGACTTTTGCTGTTAAAATCAACTAGGCACATTTCTAGCCTTTTTCCATAATCTGGATGGCTGATATGTCGTTTGTATCATTGCCAATGGTTCTGAAAACGACGATGAATAGATTCTGTTGCTTGCTCACTGTAGATTCCAAGAGGAGACCTTGATTTTTGGATGAAGTCCTTAACATGGAAAAACACTGCATGTACTTTTGGAGTGATGCTTCATCTTGGCAATGCCAAATATAAATCTCTGAATGAATCAATTTTTTCTGCATAAGTGCAATCTAACTTGTTGCGAAAACATGCAGAAACAATAGGACCAAACTTTCGAAAGCTGTCAATGATGCTGAAAACTTGAAAGGCACTGTCATTTTCAGCCAGCGTTTGGAGAAGGTCGAGGTTTTTGAGGAGCTTGTGGCAATCATTCCCAGCAAATTGACCACCATGAAAAGGTTGAGGCTGAATGTGCAAAGCTTGGAGCCATTCAGCTGATTTGGGTCAAAGGTCTGTTAAAATCTTGAACAGATGGTTAACAACCCCAAGCTGTAGATGAAGCTCCATTGGTGGAATGAGATCAAGCACAAGTGCATCATCATCTAGTGAGAGAATAGGGTCATGAATCACGTTTCCAAACAATTTTGCTTTCTTGATGTCGGATCCAGCTGCTGTGTAGGTTTTGTGTGCTTGCTTCAAAGATCTAAAAGTCCTCAGAATACCCCGGTTTGCAAGGTTAGAGCTTTCCACAGTGCACCATGTGCATGGATGAGCTGAAGCATGTGATTGCAATCCACAAATTATATTTGCCAAATTCATATCACACGAGACAACAAAGTTGATTTCACTGATTGAAATGAGAGAGAGAATGAGCTTTACATTAGATTAATTCTCTTGAACTCCTTCAGCAACTGCAACCAGAAGTTGCTGTTTTACTCCAGAATCCTTGGACGTTGAAGATGTCAGAAATCTTTTGTTTGGCGAAGACACAGCTTCACTATCTGCTTCATTTTGTAGAACTCCAAGGCAGACTTTAAGAAAATCTCCACCACCATCTATTCCAAGTTTAATGATGTGTTTTGAGAAAACCTTTCTTGAAAGTATAACTTCTTCAGTAAGTGCCTGGAGATTTTTGCAATGGACAACAACACTTTGAGACTTCTTTTGATCTGAACTAATGAATGTCGTTGGGGTTTGTGTAAAGTGTTCTTCTAGACTTTTTCCGAGATCCTGGAACTTGTGCAATATATTTGGTTCCAGAACTTTGGCAGACGAAATATGCCTAATGGTGGGAGTCAGTTTTTTTATTCCACTGTTTGACAATCCTGTATTTAGTTGAACTTGAGCAAGATCCTTTGCGGTGACTACAGCTGGATCTTTGAACAACTGATTAAAGCAAGAAGGACCTGTTAAAGAGTAAATTATAATATTTCAATTACTTAAATGTGATGGTCGACCTTAATGAAGAATTATATACAAACCTTGTGTGATTGGGAGCAGTCCTCCTCCTTTTGGCTGCACAAGTCTAATGGTTCCACAAGGAGAAGATTCTTTGCTGACAATTGTTGAGTTGGCAATTTGTTCTGCCACAATTCCATCAGATTTTGCAAGCTCCCTTAAGTTTTTACGGAACTGTGATGAAGAGCAATAATGGGGTAAACCTCGACCAATAAGAGAGAGACATGTAGAACATCTTCTGTCTGATGTTTTCTCTCCAGCTTTTGTTCTTTCAAGAGGGTGTTTCTCTGTCAGTTTAAGTCGCCCTATGTCACAAATCAAGCATTCACAAGCTTGACCACGTGTGTTTTTTTATATCAATCTAATCAAACTTTAATCAACTTTTATATCAATGGTTTCAAATTGAAACAGCTTGGGCAAAACAACCTTCTGCCCTTGATCACACTTGATTACAAGGGCCAGTCTACACGGATCACAAAGACCTTGAGGAATTCTTGGATCATCAAAGTTGAACTGCTTTTTGTAGTTGTTTTGAATTTTGCTGACCAAAAATGATGTCAATTCACGATTTCCTTTTCTAAGACACATGATACAAACAACTTTTCTGTGCTCATCATGACTTGCATGATTAGGCATTTTCAATTTATTTCAGGAAAAAAGGTTAAAAAATCGACCTTCAAAAGCTTTGATTTGTAGTAAACTGCCTTTTCCCGGAATTTTTTTGGTAAATTTTTAAAAATATTTTTTAACTGCCTTTTCCCGGAATTTTTTGGTAAATTCTTAAAAATAATTTAAAATTATCAATATTATTCAAAAAGTGCAAATTAAAAAAAACTATTATTGAAATTATTCTAGAGTTAACTTATTAGAAAAAACTTTCAGAAAAGCAATATTTTACCCAAGTGATCTTTTACCTATTTCGATTACAACCAATTTTATAACATAAAATCTTTCACATTTTCATATTTTTTGTTTCTTTATTATGTTAAGTAGGTTTTATTATTTTCAAAGAGCTTTTTGAATGTTAAGATATGCTGTAAAAATTTTCAAAAGTGATTTTCTTTCTCGGACGTAATAGGATGATTTGATTTTTTATATTTTTGGAATCCAGGAGTCATAAGCTTTCACAGGCATATTGTGGTTTCTAAGGAATTTGAGTTGACACTTATTGCTCATTTAGGAGAACGGTGATTTATATATATATATATATATATATATATATATATATATATATATATATATATATATATATATATATATATATATATATATATATATATATATATATATATATATATATATATATATATATATTCTTTTATTTGGTAATATTTTTTTAGGAATACGAAGCAAAGTTGAAAAAAGTTAATGCAGTAAAACAGGAGTTGCAATCTCACTTAGAAAATCTTCCTGATATGTCTAAATTGCCTGATCCTATTCCGCTTCCTTCACCTGGTGATCTCTTTTCACCTGGAAAGTTAAAATAGGTGTTCTTCTGTTAACGGACATTATTGATGCTGTTAACGCAATTGGACTTCTCTGCGAGTTGTTCATTCCTTCTGCTTTTCAGTCGGCTATTGATTAATGTGTCGGCGTACATGGTAATGTGTCGGCCTACATGTTAAGTGATTTGATCAATTTTGTATATCAAAATCTTATATATCAAAACTTATATATACCAATAGTATCTTTGTACAATAAAAGTTTAAAAGATATTGAGATCTAAACTAGTAAATAGTTTAGTAAACAGCTAACAGGAAAAACAACGTCTGAAACCTGAATTCTTTTTTAAAAGCCAACAAAAATTATTGGCATTAGTATAAATATATAAATATTAAGAGTCTGCTCTATGCCTGAAAATCTATTCGCTCTGTGGTTACATGAGTGTTTTGCATAATACCTACATTTTTTATTAACTGTTTTCTCGTTACATGAGCGATTTGCATTCTTTAAATCAAAATATTGATTTGATATATATAGCGTGGTTTGACTTTGGCATGGCGTGAGAATCTTAGCATTTCCTAAAGTATAAACTTTAACAAAAAAGCATTAATATGCTTAAAAAAGGTTGAGAAGCTTTCCTAAGGATAGCTACATAAAAAGGAAAAAATATTTATTTATTTCAAAACATTCAATTTGTGAGAAAACTATTTGACTAAAATAACTGACTTTGCTATAAACCTTTGATTTTCCAATAAAGAAAATTTTAAGTGAAATATTGTTTACCATAATTCAGGGCGGTGCAATAAGGCAAACACTATGTTCTTTTTGCTTCGGTCATGTATATACTATTTTATATAACAAGGCATTTTATAAATTCTTTTTTTTATGTGTGAGCATAAATAAAATGTAGCATAAAGACGATTAAACCATGGCATGGCAAACTTATACCAGGCCTATTCACCGTACGGAGGACGTCATAAACTGGATGCGAATTTTTTTTAAACAAAAAACACAGAAATAATAAAATGAGTTAAAGCATAAAAATTTAAGGAAGAAATAAAAGTAAATAACAAAATGTAATAAAATATATTAAAAATAATACTACTTTTTTAATTCTAAAACTATATGCAGTTTATTTATATTTAACAGTTCGAAAATGGATCTAAATTGGGAAGACGAATTTTTCAAATCAATCTTTATAAGTTGAACAGTTTAATGAAGGAAAAAAAAACTCAACAGTAAAATGTGGTTTTTTGCTTAATTGTCGCTGTTTGGTTCATTTTTTGTCAGGTCTATGTTCTTCATGATTACCCTGCTATATTACGATTTACGGTTAATTAACAAGACTTTTTTTAACAAGAAATTGCATAGTTCATTGCTTAGGAGGCCGTGCTTTATTCCGCGCTATATTCTCTTTAAACTCAAATCGATATATCCATGCTATATTTTCTTTAAACTCAAATTACCGTAAAATTGGGTGACTTTGGCCCTACGGGACTTTAGCCCAACATAAATTTTTGTTTAAAAATGGTTTAAAATCGATACCTTAAGGTATGCCGGTTGATGTTTAGTAGCAAATTGTGGGAAATTTATTATTTATTTAGTTTGACTTAGTTTACTTAACTCGAGTCTTTGTGATATTATTGTAAATTGCACTTTAGAAGAAGCACCTAAAATCCGAATTTTTTTAGGTGTGTAAACTTTTACATCGATAGCAGTACCTGTAGAAGGTTTTTTATTGGAATATACACTGAATTAATTTTAAACCATTAGTGTTTGATTCTGAACACTAGCTTATTAGAACATTAGGCTTGTTTTGAAAGCCTAACAGCTTATTACTTTTTTGTAATTGAGTTTAAAAAAAAGTAGGTTGTCTTTGGCCCACTACATAGGCTGACATTGGCCTGGGCTAAAGTCAACCCATGTATTAGAGTAAACCTTTTTTAGTGATCATTTATAGATATTATGGTAGTTACTATGTTGGAATGAAAAATTTTGTAGTAGTAATGCAATTTTGAAATAAGCAGCTTTGAAATACAATATACCAAGATCAACATTAAAAAATAAAATAAAACATACATATCCTAAAAAGTATGGTGGTCAGCAAATATTTACATCAAAAGAAGAAGACATGTTTAAGGCATATGCAATAAAATCATCTGAGTTTGGTTTTCCTGTTGATAAATATGATTTAAGATGCATAGTAAAAGGGTATTAAGAGAAAAAAGGTGTCATTATACCTCAGTTCAAAAATAATTTTCCAGGTGGCGATTGGATTCGATCTTTTTTAAAAAGAAATCCAGAACTCACAGTAAGATTTGCAAACAACATAAAGCGAAAGAGAGCAGAAATAGGAACGACTATGATTAATAACTACTTTATAAATCTATCAAATGAAATAAGTAATATATCACCTGATAATATATGGAATTATGATAAAACCAATCTCAGTGATGATCCGGGTAAAAAAAAAAAATTAACAAAGCGTGGATGTAAGTATCCTGAATACATCATTAATTCTACAAAGACCTCATTCTCTGTAATGTTTTGTGGCAATGCTAATGGTGAATTGCTACCACCTTATATTGTTTACAAAGCTGAGTCGTTATGGAATACATGGATGGAAATGGGCCACCAAAAATGGTCGATTTGACTCAACATGTTTTGAAGACTGGTTTTTCTCTTTACTCCTTCCAAGACTTAAGAAGGCTCAAGGAAGAAGTGTCATTATAGGTGATAACGTATCTTCACATTTGAGCATTGCAGCACTAGATGCATGTCAAAGCAATAACATAGGATTTGTGGCATTACTAGCAAACTCTACACATCTCATGCAGCCATTAGATGTTGCCTACTAGAATTTTTCCATTAGACTAGTCTCAAGTGCTTTCGCGACTACAATGTTGTAATATAGGTTTAGACTCAACTACTGATTTAGTAAGCCAATCATTTTTAGATCATTTATGTAAGTCACTAGATGATCCCTCACTAGATGGTTCTAAAAAACCAAAGCGACGTAAAGTATGTGTTGTCCCAGGTAAAAGCTTATGTTCAACAAATATATCATCTTGTGTTATAAATGAAAATAATAGATTAAATTCAGTATTATAAATACAATTGAGACCAACAACATTAGCTTTGCTAGCCCAAGTACAAATACTGGAACTACTGAGACTTCTAATCTAATTTTTGCAGATGTAAGTTTAGTTATAGAAAGTCATACAGAATCTTTAGATCATTCAGCATTAGGCAAAAAGAACTTTCAAAATATTGATAAAACAAAAAATGTTTGTAAGAAGGAGAAATTATTAAATCTTGTAGAGAATTGTTATGTAATTGTTAAATGCAATGGAGAGTTAAATCCTGGACAGATTTGTTTATTTATTTTGAGTTATTGATATTTAGCTAATCAATTTGTAAACTTCATAATTAATTTAATAACTAATATTATTTAATGAAACTACTGAAAAATTTAAAAAAAACTTTTGAAATTTTTTTTTCTGCAGTTAAAAAAATTAAGGAAAAATGGACTTAACTGAAAATGGTCACTACCAGCAGAGCAACTTTTTTTCCCCAGTCTGAAATAGTCGATTTTATTAAGAAACCAAAGAAAATTTCGAAAAGAGGAATTTATTCAGTTCCAGAACTTTTTCCCTAAATTTTTTAAAAGATTGTTTTTGTCATTTTTGTTTACTTTTTACCTAAACTGTTTTGTTTACTTGGTACCTATACTTGTTTAGTTTGTACCTATATTTTATTTACTGTATACAAGAACTTTGTTACTAAATCTTCTTTTGTCACTTTATTTTTGTAAATTTATTTTCTTTGCCTAAATATTTTTGTTTTTATTGTTGTTTTGCTTCCTTTAATTCCTTTTTACAGGGTTGGGCCAAAGTCACCATAACACGTAGGGCGACTTTGGCCCACCATTTAAACCACCCAAAAGATACTTCAGGTAAATATTTTTCAAATGGAAGACAGATAGTTCTAACTTTCCTTTCTATGTACTTCTAAAAGTACTTAGTGTTTGAGGAAATAACTTTGGTGGCTTTCATGAAATAGACATTAAGATGCAAAATGGGTCAAAGCCACCCAATCTTACGGTATGTCAAAAGTCAAAAAATAAAACATAAAAAACCACCCCCACCACCTAACTGTTTTACTAATATATAATAAACTCTTTTACAAACATTCGTGGTCTGCGAAGCAACCTTCCATCAGTTGAATCTTATGTCTTGCAAAATTCACCAGACTTGCTTGCTCTTAGTGAGACTAATTTAAATTTTGCTATTCCTTTTTCTAATCTCAGTATTGATGGGTACTATCCTATAGTATGGCTTATCTCTAACGCCACTGACCCTGCTGGCACTAAAGCCTATAACTTCTGCATTTCTTAATCTCTTACTCAGAATATTTTGTGATTCGTTTTTTATGATAACCGTGATCATTTACCTTCACTGCTTGATTTATGTCTGGTCCATAATCCTAGCTAGTGTTCAGATTCTCCTCTTTCTCTTTTAGGTGGTTCTGATCATGCAATAACATCTTTAAATCTTTTGTCTTGTACTTCCTTTTCAGGCTCACCCTATCATTGCACTACTTACTACTACCCTAAAGCTAATTGGGATTCTTTCTGTGATTTTCTTTTGACGGACCTTGGGCTGATGTCTTTTCAAATTCAGCTGAAAAATTCGCCTCCAATGTTATCCTGCATTTAGGAAGGAAGGGAAGCTTTTATTCTTTCTTGTTGGCTCCAAGTCTAGCCTCATTTTTTTCCATGGTTTTCACCCTATTGTACAGCTGGTGTATCTAATCGTAATCATTTTTTTATCTTTCACAAAAGAATAATTCCAATTATAAAAAGAACAAACGGATATTTATTATTGGAAGAAATTGATGTAAAAAGGTGTTGTCTGATGCTACGCACAATTATTCTCAGTTCACTAAACCTTGTTCCTTATTACCAGAAGTTAGGATATAGAGACTTTTGGAAAATCTTCAACAGCATCATTAACAAGGGTAGGCCTACCATTCCGTCTCTCATTCATGGGACTAATCAAATTACTTCTCCCAAGGATAAAGCAAAACTATTTGTAAAGAATTTTTCTTTAAGTTCGATCTTTGATTGAATCTTGTGGCTATTTTCTTCCTTCCATTCCAATTAAATAGGTTAATCCATTGTTAAACATTCAAATCACTCCAGCTTCAGTTGCTTAAGTCATATCTTAATTTAACTCTTTTGCAGCTTGTGGTCCAGAAAACATTCCTGTCATAGTCTTACAAACTT